AGCTTATCAAAAAAAAGTTTAGGACAAACAACTAAAAGCAATGTTTACGTGTATTAAAAATTAGATAACGGTATAACAAATATTTGGATATGAATTTTGTGTGTCTAATAATTCTCAGAGATTTTATGGAATTTTATGTTAACTATAAAATATTAACTAATATTGATTTTCCTTAACCAGCCTTGACCGTAAAAATAGCTTAACTTAAAATATTTTCATAGAATCCTAAGGCCAATTTGTCGATAATCGATTTAAGCATCCTTTGAGTTACTATTATTTCTAATTTTAAGTTCTTTATTACGTCCGTCTATTACTTACGAATATATTTGCTATATGCCCGTAAAACGAATTCTTACCTGAAAATAAATAAAAGATATAAACAATTAAAATCAAGTTAAAATATATTCTGCATTAAATCAATAATGAAAATAACTAGATTAACAAATAAAAATATACGATCTATTCTCGGAAAACAAAAAATTGGACCGACCACACTTTAGTGATAACCAGTTTAAAAATGCTTTAATAATGATCCACGATACAAGGAAACGTTTTCCGATCCTACACAAAAAGACTAATATTGGCCGAAAATCCGGTTAATTTTTTTCTATATGGGACTGAGTAAAGCATTTCCATCAGATCTCGGAAGTGTTTCGACATGAAATATGTATATAGTGTCGATCTTATAGAGACCGTTGGGTTCTAATAAGCTTTCTTTTGAAAACAGTTGGTCCCGTTAAGTAATTTTTTCATTTTCTAAAAAATGCATATATATTTTTTTATATTCACTATTAATGATTCGTATAGAAAAATATTATAAATAAGTATCTTATTCCTCTTTCCAAACGAATTCCTAAATCTAGATGAATAATTGTTCATTCATTTTTATTTTCAAAAGAAAATAACAAGAAGCAAAAATCTCTATTTAATCATCTTAATTAAGCATGACCAAATATAACACGATATATCGTTGTACCAGTAGTCAGTCCACTGGCAACTGCATGTGGTTTCTTCTCTTTAAGGCAAATAAAAATATTAAAAATTAATGATTTTTTTTAAAAAAAAGAACAAAATCAAGAAAGAAGCTACACTTAAACATTTTAATGACACAAAACGGAAATAAAAGAGGAGTCATCATTAATAATTAAGGATGTCTGTTTTTATGTGGATATGACAATAATAAATAAAACAACTTTAAAATAAAAATGTTGCCACATTTGGCTGCATGGTAATGACTCATTTTTAGTAATTTTAAGGTACATATTTTTTCTTTGCTGTTTTCTAAAATGATTATTTGTTTCTTCCTTTTGGTATATAACATTTTGTTAGTGTAGATAAGTTTCTGACATTTTAGCAATTTTAATGGATTTTTGTTCTCTGTTCAGGTCGTTAGTTTTATTTCTAAAGATTGTAGTGAATTTTTATATGATATTCAGTTGTTCGTACATATGTCAGCCTGCTGCCTGTTGTCTATCAATTCTATAAGCGATTTATAAGAATCAAATTAAAATTTTGCGGTTGTATGTTCCATTGAATAAGCGCCAAATTTGTGCTCATTAGAATTTTTGTGTTGAAACTATTTTTTTTTTTTTTTTGTTTTTGCATTTTTTAATATCTATATACATAGTCATTATATATATTTACATATGTATGTACGTGGATCTAATGTAGAAAGTATGTTGATTTCATCAATTCGTTTGTAACATTAGCAATAAAAAGTGCTTTAGATTATAGAGCAAGAGTGAAAAAATCAGTAATATAGGATACTTTCAAATAGACTAGTCCATAGATTTGTCCATAAACTATTCAATAAACTAGTTAATGAAATAGATCATAGACTAATCAATAGACTAGACAATAGACCAATCCTTAGACTAGTCCATAGAATTTTCCACATACTATAGTCAAAAGACCATATAATATACAAAAGACTAGTCAATAGACTAGTGAATATACTTGCCCATAGACTAGTCAATATACTACTCCATAGACTAGTAAATATACTAGTCCAAAGACTAGTCAATATACCAGTCTATAGACTAGTCATTAGTCTTTTCTATAGACTAGTGAATAGCCCAGTCAGTAGACTTATCTATGAACTAGTCCATGGCCTAGTGAATAGCCCAGTCAGTAGAATTATCCATAGACTAGTCAATAGAATAGATTAGTTAATACACGAGGCAGTAGACTAGCCAGTACACTAAAGAGTAGACTAGTCAGTAGACTATTCTACAAACTAGCCCATAAACTCGTGAATAGACTATACCATAGACTAGCTAGTTCATAGACTTGTTCATTATACTGAACAGACTAAACTAGTCCATATACTAGTGAAAAGACTAGTTCAGAGACTTATCTATAGACTAGTCAATAGACTAGTCAATAGAATAGTCTATAGACTAGTTCATAGCCTATTCTATAGACTAGTCCATAGACCAGTTCATAGACTTATCCATAGACTAGTCCACAGGCTTGTAAATAGACCAGTTCATAGACTTGTCCATAGTCTAGTCAATAGTCTATAGATTAGGAAATATATACTTCATAGACTAGTCAAAAGATTAGTCCATAGAGTAGTCAATATACTAGTCCATATAGTAGTCAATAGACTGGTCCATATACTAATCCATAGACTAGTCAGGAGAGTAGTCAGTAGACAAGTGAGGAGAGTAATCAGTAGACTAGTCAGCAGACTAGTCACTAGACTAGTCAATAGACTAGTCAATAGACTAGTCAATAGACTAGTCAGGAGATCAGACTAGTCAGTAGACTAGTCAGTACACTGGTCAGTAGACTTTTCAGTGGACCAGGCTGTAGACTAGTCAGTAGGCTAGTCTGTAGACTAGTCTGTAAGGTAGTATGTAGACTAGTCTGTAGACCGGTCAATAGCATAGTCTGTAGTCTAGTCAATAGACTAGTCTGTAGACTAGTCAATAGACTAGTCTGTAGACTAGTCAATAGACTAGTCTGTAGACTAGTCAATAGACTAGTCTGTAGACTAGTCAATAGACTAGTCTGTAGACTAGTCAATAGACTAGTCTGTAGAATAGTCAATAGACTAGTCTGTAGAATAGTCATTATACTAGTCTGTAGACTAGTCAATAGACTAGCCTGTAGACTAGTCAATAGACTAGCCTGTAGACTAGTCAATAGACTAGCCTGTAGACTAGTCAATAGACTAGCCTGTAGACTAGTTAATAGACTAGTCTATATACTAGTCTGTAGACTAGTCAATATACTAGTCTGTAGACTAGTCAATAGACTAGTCTGTAGAATAGTCATTATACTAGTCTGTAGACTAGTCAATAAACTAGCCTGTAGACTAATCAATAGACTAGTATGTAGACTAGTCAATAGACTAGTATGTAGACTAGTCAATAGACTAGTATGTAGACTAGTCAATATACTAGCCTGTAGACTAGTCAATATACTAGCCTGTAGACTGTCAATAGACTAGGCTGTAGACTAGGATGTAGACTAGTCAATAGACTAGGCTGTAGGTTAGTCAATAGACTAGGCTGTAGGTTAGTCAATAGACTAGGCTGTAGGTTAGTCAATAGACTAGGCTGTTGACTAGTCAATAGGCTAGGCTGTTGACAAGGCAATAGACTAGGCTGTAGACTATTCTGTAGGCTAGTATGTAGGCTAGTCTGTGGACTAGTCTGTAGACTAGTCTGTAGACTAGTCTGTAGTCTATTCTGTAGTCTATTCTGTAGTCTATTCTGAAGTCTAGTCTGTAGTCTAGTCTGTAGGCTAGTCAAAAGACTAGTCTAAGGTCTAGTCTGTAGGATTGTCAATAGACTAATTTGTAGTCTAGTCTGTATCCTAGTCAGTAGACTAGTCCATAGACTGAAGAGCCATCATTAGTCGTTTTCGACCACACATTTGTCTGCAAAAAAATTTTATTTGCGATCATTCAATCATTTCTTATATAAACTATAGAATTATTCTACTTAAACTCTCGAATGTAAACACATTTTTGCGCTCACAATTAAATTGCATGTTAAATATAATTTTCATTTCATAAAAAATTTAAAAAAAAAAATGATTTTTTTTTCAAATCTCTAGTATTTTGTTGGCGTGTTGAAATCATTTATTTTCATGCTTTCATTGCATTTATTGTGTCTGTTGTGTATCTCGTTTATTTGTTTGCAGTTTGTGGTGTGCATTTTATGTTTCAGAACATAAAAAATAAACTTTAAATTCTCGAAAAAAAAAATATACAAAATAAAATTATGTTTTACATTAAAGAAACAATTTTAATAGACCTCATTAAACGCTATAATAATATTATCATTATGTTTTAATTTTTATGCGCGTTTTAAAAAACAAAAATATTTGAAAAAAGTTTTTTTTGTACTTTATAAACATTTTACAAAGTAACTGGGCTAAATCGTGTGTTAAGTTTATGGTTTGCAATTAAGTGTTAACAATTAAATAATGTTAGTATATAATTTAAATGAATAGACCCAGTAGTTTTAAAAAGTATTCAAGGTATCGTTTTTAAGTTCTTATAGCGTCTAATATTAGATTTTCTGCAATCTCCTCCAACTTGTAATGCATAGAAAAAGGAAATTTAACATATCACCAGTACTGGGGTAGTAAACTGTCACTTAAGAGTCTGTTAGATGTCTGGATTACAATCAGTTGAGTCTTACTACTTTCTTACTAACAACTACTTAGACGCAATAAAGTGACAATTAGTCAGATTTCTTGGGAAATTTGAAGTAATTTTATAATCAAATCTGTAATAAGTAATTATTAGAATCCTTCAGAATTGCAGGGTTTATTTAAACAATTTTTTGTACTTGTAGTAACTATTTTTAAATAGTTATTTTAACAAATAGCTGTAGAATTTACTGCATTTATTTACAGTTTTTTTGCAGAAATTTAAATAGGCATAAATCGGTAAAAGAAGTAAATAACTGAATAGAAATTAAATGAGAAAACCATTATCTTATTGCAGCCCCATTTCCCAGCTATTTGTGAAATCCAATTTCATTTTTTAATTAGCTTCTTTGGAAATGGTTGAAAATATTTGAAAACCAAGTACAGTAAGAAATTAATGTCAATAGTATCAGACTATATATCAGGCTATACAAGTTAGTTTTTCAAAAAGTCCTTATATAAAAGTTGGGATAATTTATGGACTAGTCTGTTGCTTAACCTATGGACTCTACTATTGCATGTCTAATGGTTATTGTTTCGACTAGTCTATGGGATAATATGTTGATTAGTCTCTCGAGTAATCTATTTACGAGTCTATTAACTATGAATTAGCCCATTTACAAGTATGTATATGGAACAGTCTATTAACTAGTCTATTGACTATTTTATTGACCACTTTATATTCTATTGACTAGTCTATGGACTATTCTATTGCCTAGTCTATGGACTATTCTATTGCCTAGTCTATGGACTATTCTATTGCCTAGTCTATGGACTATTCTATTGCCTAGTCTATGGACTATTCTATTGACTAGTCTATAGACTGTTCCAATGACTAGTCTATAGACTGTTCTATTGACTAGTCTATAGATTGTTCTATTTACTAGTCTATATACTGTTCTATTGACTAATCTATAGACTGTTCTATTGACTAGTCTATAGACTGTTCTATTGACTAGTCTATAGACTGTTCTATTGACTAGTCTATGGACTGTTATATTGACTAGTCTATAAACTGTTATATTGACTAGTCTATAGACTGTTCTATTGACTAGTCTATAGACTGTTTATTAACTAGTCTATAGACTGTTCTATTGACTAGTCTATAGACTGTTCTATTGACTTGTCTATAGACTGTTCTATTGACTAGTCTATAGACTGTTCTATTGACTAGCCTATAGACTGTTCTATTGGCTAGTCTATAAACTGTTCTATTGACTAGTCTATGTACTATTCTATTGACTAGTTTATGGACTATTCTATTGACTAGTCTATGGACTATGCTATTGACTAGTCTATGGACTATGCTATTGACTAGTCTATGAACTATTCTATTGACTAGTCTATGAACTATTCTATTGACTAGTCTTTGGACTATTCTATAGATTAGTCTATAGACTGTTCCATTGACTAGTCTATGGACTGTTCTATTGACTAGCCTATGAACTAGTCTATGTTTTATTCTATTGACTAGTCTATGGACAGTTATAATCGATGGACGTCTCTATTGATTACACTATGTACTATTCTATTAAATAGTCTATGGACTATTCTATTGTCTACTTTATGGACAGTCTATGGACTATTCTATTGACTAGTCTATCCATGGTCTATTCTCTTGACTAGTCTATGGACTATGCTATTGACTAGTCTATGGAATATTCTATTGACTAGTCTATGGACTATTCTATTGACTAGCCTATGGACAGTTCTATTGATTATTATATAGACTATTCTATTAACTGTTCTATTGACTAGTCCATGGGCTGTTCTCTTGACTAGTATTTGGACCATTCTATTGGCTAGTCTATGAACTATTCTATAGACTAGTCTATGGACTAGTATATGAACTATTCTATTGACTAGCCTATCGATTGGTAGGTCTATGGATTATTCTACTGCCCAGTCTAAGGTCTATTCTATTGATTAGTCCATTATATTAACTTGTCTATGGACTATTCTATGGACTACTCTAATAACTGCTCTAAAGACCAGTACACGAACTAGATTGAAGTACATAATGTGTCGTGGATATCAGATAGCACTAAAAAGTAAAACAGTACTAAATTTTCCATCCCTGGTCTGGAATACATGTTCGAATTTTTGTCCCATTAGGTCCAGTAGTTTTTGACTTTATCAGTTGTATACAAACATTACTTTTTTATTCACCCAGAACGTGTTTAAGAGATTATAAAGAATTCTATACAATTTCGAAAAAATTCTATGTGTTGTCGGGTCCTAAAATGAAATGTCGTTAATGTAACAAGTTAATTATATATGTTGTATATTAAATCAAATCCGATGAAATACACCTATGCCATCGACCGGTTTGTTTTGCACTCCTTTAGCAGTGCCTAAGGTGACCACTAGGGATGCCAAACGGGACTGGCTTTTACAAATCCCGGGATTCGGGATTTTGAAAATTGCAATCCCGGGATCCCGGGATATTTCGGGATCCCGGGATTTTTCGGGATCCCGGGATTTTTCGGTATTTCGGGATTTTACGGGATTTCGGGATTACATGAATTTAATTATTTTATATATGAAAATCTTTAAATCATCATATTTGTAAAGAAAATTGTTTAATTTTGTGGAAATTTAACAGACAGAAGATATATTTAAATTAAAACAATCCAATTAATTCCAATTTTTAAATAAAAACTTTCAGAATTGCATAATTTCTGAAACTTTTTAAATACATACTTACTTCCTAAATAAAAATAAATATCAAGTTCCGAAATTAGACATAAGCACTTTTTAAAACCTCATACTGTTTCATGTGAACTAATAATTATAACAGATACCAATTCAATTATTCGAACATCAATTTAGAACCTATTCTTTGAAAAATATTTGGAATTTTACTCAAAATACATATTAGTTTTGGAACATATTATTATATTCGTAGTATTAATTTAAAATTTTAGGTGCATTCAGAACAAGGTAATTTACCTTTACCGGTATCATTCAGATTTGTAGAAAGTTAGAAATGTAAAATCCTCTAGTATTGAAAAATAAAGTTTGTATTCGACTGTGCCGAAATTAAATACCCACCATCAAAATATTGTAATGTATTGATATTAATATCAGCATCAATGTGATTTTCAGAGGAGGTCCAATTAGGTTTTTTTGTGTCAATTTTGGTCCAAATTTGCAGCCCAAATAGAATGAGTCTTCTAACTCGTGTTTTCAGCTTACAGACACAGAATGTGTATACTTTTTTGGTCGGTCTACGACCAACATTGCATTGCATTAGCACATTAACAAGTAAAAAGTTATAGTTGGGCGAAGCCTACCATATAATACCCTACACCAGTTATAAAAATAAAATGTGATTTATTGTTCATAATAAAGCATCTAAGTTGAATTGTACCTTGCCTCAGATATAATTTAGCTATTTTTTGTTGAATAAAATTGTGTACATTTAAGTCATATTTCGAAGGGGGCTTTGCATAGGGGCTAGCGTCAAATGAGGCCGCATCATCAAAAAATACATCAGGGTCATGAAGGCTAGTATAGAACTTGGTTTTGCAGCATTTTGTCGAGTTACGAGTATATTGAACATAATTATGAACTTAAAAACCCTATTTGGGGGGTTCAGTTGTATGGGGGCTAGGTCAAATATTGGACCGATGTTATCCATTTTCAATAGGATCCGTCTCTAGTACAATAGAAGATCATGCAAAATTTCATTGAATTATCTTCAAAATTGCTGTAGTTTGATTACAAGGTTTACACGGACGGACGGACAGACGGACGGACATAGCTAAATCGACTCAGAAAATGATTCTGAGCCGATTGGTATACTTTAAGGTATAGGACCAATATTATTGTGTGTAACAAACATCAGCACAAACCCAATATACCCTCCCCACTAAAGTGGTGTAAGGTATAAAAACGAAGTGAATAAATAAATTTATATGTGCTATGTGTATGGACTCATACCACTTTAAAAAATAAAAGGTTCAAATATGTATAAAATTAGCTCTGCGGAATTTTGTTTTGCATGAGTCAAAAATAAAATAAGATCGTAATTTTCAAATTAATTAAAATTATGGCTCAAAAAAAGAAAATAAAAACAGTTTTTTGAAACAAATCCTAATCCCGAAAAAATCCCGGGATTTATTTTCCAAATCCCGGGATTCGGGATTTACCAATCCCGAAAAATCCCGGGATTTTCGGGATCGGGATTTCGGGATTGGCATCCCTAGTGACCACCCATGACCTCCGGTCTGATCGACTAGAACACTAACTACTAATCTAAGAGAAGTATTTCGTAAATGTATTAAATTAATTAGTAATATTTCATGTTTCACTTATTGTTACAAAGCCATTATTTAGAAGAGATTTTGGAGAGTTATTAAGGATTTGCACTATCCAGGCTTAAGAATAGTTATTTGACATTTTGCTACCCTCTAGCATACGTTTGACATAACCCCAAATATATTCAAAACACTTGTAATTGTTTGTAATAAAACTATATTTTAAAACACATTTCCGTTGGCAATAAACTAACTGATGAAATAATTCTAGACATTTAATGTCAATTAACGTAATTAAATACCAAAACAGCAAAATACATTTCGCCATAAATTATATTTCTATACGCCAAATGAACAAAAAAAAAAAAAGCCCACCACACAGCGTCATTAAATCATATTTCAAAAACGTATACTCATAGACTTTTCAGTTGGCCCAACAAAATCCTATATATACAATTTTTTTTTTTAATAAAAAAATCCTCAGGTTTCAAAATTTTGTGTATATTCAACAAATACATACATATATACTGACAAAATTAAAACACTCACACGCTGGCAAAATATTTTAGAAATGAAAATAAATTTCAAACGAAAAACTAATTCTATTTTTCTACTCGAAGAAAATAAAGATCATAAAATAAAAAGATATATAGATTTGAAAAGCATAGAATTGCAAATTTTAGACAAAAAAAAAAAAAAAAAAAAAAAAAAAACACATAAAAATTTAAAAGATTTTTAGACTGGGTTAGCAGAACAGTTGAGAAATAGAGAGCCTTTAGCACTCAAAGTATTTGAAAAAAGAGAAAAAAAAATAATTCGAAATTCGAACTTTCAATATTTTTTAGTGCAGAAAATTTAAATTTCGAAATGCCGCCTTTTAAATAAATTGCGAGAAAAAGAGAGAGTTTAACATTTTTTTTACTCTCTTGATTTTTAATTAATATTTTGAAATATTTTCAACGACCTTAAAGTTTATTTTCTTCTTTTGTAATTCTTTTTTTTTTTCATTATTAATAATTTTGAAATAGTTTCTGTCATCGGTAGGAAATTAAGATCATTAAGTGTTGTTCTTTTATTTATTTATGCAAAATTTATGTAGTAGAAAAATATATGAATGAATTGGAATGTGTCGGTCCAACTGTCAGTGTCTGTATGTATATAAAACAGTAGCGCTTTTATATAGTATTTCGTTCTTGTTTTTCTAATAGTATTATTGAGAAATAATTATAAATTTAGCATATCTAAACGCCCTGCTAAGTGGCAAAAAACACTTTCGCAATTTGTCAAACTGAAGAAAAAAATGTGGGCGCAACCATTGGCACTCGGCATGTGTGACAATAAATAATGCATTGTTCGATGTACATACGTAATTTTATTTTATTAATAAATATATTTTGGAGACGGTTGGCAACAAACACTCTCTTTTCTAACGCACATAATTGTTTCAAATAGTCATGGTTCTAAATAAAATACATGACCGTGACTTCTGCTGAAGATTAGTTCATTAATATTTACATTTCTAATAACAGATTGTACAAAATTAGACAAAAAAATTTATTAATAATATTAATTTATTAATAGTTTATAGTCAAGTCTATAGACTAGTCGATAGTCTAGTCGATAGTCTAGTCGATAGTCTAGTCGATAGTCTAGTCGATAGTCTAGTCGATAGTCTAGTCGATAGTCTAGTCGATAGTCTAGTCGATAGTCTAGTCGATAGTCTAGTCGATAGTCTAGTCGATAGTCTAGTCGATAGTCTAGTCGATAGTCTAGTCGATAGTCTAGTCGATAGTCTAGTCGATAGTCTAGTCGATAGTCTAGTCGATAGTCTAGTCGATAGTCTAGTCGATAGTCTAGTCGATAGTCTAGTCGATAGTCTAGTCTATAGTCTAGTCTATAGTCTAGTCGATAGTCTAGTCTATAGTCTAGTCTATAGTCTAGTCTATAGTCTAGTCTATAGTCTAGTCTATAGTCTAGTCTATAGTCTAGTCTATAGTCTAGTCTATAGTCTAGTCTATAGTCTAGTCTATAGTCTAGTCTATAGTCTAGTCTATAGTCTAGTCTATAGTCTAGTCTATAGTCTAGTCTATAGTCTAGTCTATAGTCTAGTCTATAGTCTAGTCTATAGTCTAGTCTATAGTCTAGTCTATAGTCTAGTCTATAGTCTAGTCTATAGTCTAGTCTATCGTAGTCTATAGTCTAGTCTATAGTCTAGTCTATAGTCTAGTCTATAGTCTAGTCTATAGTCTAGTCTATAGTCTAGTCTATAGTCTAGTCTATAGTCTAGTCTATAGTCTAGTCTATAGTCTAGTCTATAGTCTAGTCTATAGTCTAGTCTATAGTCTAGTCTATAGTCTAGTCTATAGTCTAGTCTATAGTCTAGTCTATAGTCTAGTCTAGTCTAGTCTATAGTCTAGTCTATAGTCTAGTCTATAGTCTAGTCTATAGTCTAGTCTATAGTCTAGTCTATAGTCTAGTCTATAGTCTAGTCTATAGTCTAGTCTATAGTCTAGTCTATAGTCTAGTCTATAGTCTAGTCTATAGTCTAGTCTATAGTCTAGTCTATAGTCTAGTCTATAGTCTAGTCTATAGTCTAGTCTATAGTCTAGTCTATAGTCTAGTCTATAGTCTAGTCTATAGTCTAGTCTATAGTCTAGTCTATAGTCTAGTCTATAGTCTAGTCTATAGTCTAGTCTATAGTCTAGTCTATAGTCTAGTCTATAGTCTAGTCTATAGTCTAGTCTATAGTCTAGTCTATAGTCTAGTCTATAGTCTAGTCTATCTAGTCTATAGTCTAGTCTATAGTCTAGTCTAGTCTATAGTCTAGTCTATAGTCTAGTCTAGTCTATAGTCTAGTCTATAGTCTAGTCTAGTCTATAGTCTAGTCTATAGTCTAGTCTAGTCTAGTCTAGTCGAGTCTAGTCTAGTCTATAGTCTAGTCTAGTCTATAGTCTAGTCTATAGTCTAGTCTATAGTCTAGTCTATAGTCTAGTCTATAGTCTAGTCTATAGTCTAGTCTATAGTCTAGTCTATAGTCTAGTCTATAGTCTAGTCTATAGTCTAGTCTATAGTCTAGTCTATAGTCTAGTCTATAGTCTAGTCTATAGTCTAGTCTATAGTCTAGTCTATAGTCTAGTCTATAGTCTAGTCTATAGTCTAGTCTATAGTCTAGTCTATAGTCTAGTCTATAGTCTAGTCTATAGTCTAGTCTATAGTCTAGTCTATAGTCTAGTCTAGTCTATAGTCTAGTCTAGTCTATAGTCTAGTCTATAGTCTAGTCTATAGTCTAGTCTATAGTCTAGTCTATAGTCTAGTCTATAGTCTAGTCTATAGTCTAGTCTATAGTCTAGTCTATAGTCTAGTCTATAGTCTAGTCTATAGTCTAGTCTATAGTCTAGTCTATAGTCTAGTCTATAGTCTAGTCTATAGTCTAGTCTATAGTCTAGTCTAGTCTAGTCTATAGTCTAGTCTATAGTCTAGTCTATAGTCTAGTCTATAGTCTAGTCTATAGTCTAGTCTATAGTCTAGTCTATAGTCTAGTCTATAGTCTAGTCTAGTCTATAGTCTAGTCTATAGTCTAGTCTATAGTCTAGTCTATAGTCTAGTCTATAGTCTATAGTCTAGTCTATAGTCTAGTCTATAGTCTAGTCTATAGTCTAGTCTATAGTCTAGTCTATAGTCTAGTCTATAGTCTAGTCTATAGTCTAGTCTATAGTCTAGTCTATAGTCTAGTCTATAGTCTAGTCTATAGTCTAGTCTATAGTCTAGTCTATAGTCTAGTCTATAGTCTAGTCTATAGTCTAGTCTATAGTCTAGTCTATAGTCTAGTCTATAGTCTAGTCTATAGTCTAGTCTATAGTCTAGTCTATAGTCTAGTCTATAGTCTAGTCTATAGTCTAGTCTATAGTCTAGTCTATAGTCTAGTCTATAGTCTAGTCTATAGTCTAGTCTATAGTCTAGTCTATAGTCTAGTCTATAGTCTAGTCTATAGTCTAGTCTATAGTCTAGTCTATAGTCTAGTCTCTAGTCTATAGTCTTGTCTATAGTCTAGTCTATAGTTTAGTCTATAGTCTAGTCTATAGTGTAGTCTATAGTCTAGGCTATAGTGTAGTCTATAGTCTAGTCTATAGTGTAGTCTATAGTGTAGTCTATAGTCGAGTCTATAGTGTAGTCTATAGTCTAGTCTATAGTCTAGTCTATAGTCTAGTCTATAGTCTAGTCTATAGTCTAGTCTATTGTCTAGTCTATAGTCTAGTCTATAGTGTAGTCCCTAGTCTAGTCTATAGTCTAGTCTATAGTCTAGTCTATAGTCTAGTCTTTAGTCTAGTCTATAGTTTAGTCTATAGTCTAGTCTATAGTCTAGTCTATAGTCTAGTCTATAGTCTAGTCTATAATCTAGTCTATAATCTAGTCTATAGTCTAGTCTATAGTCTAGTCTATAATCTAGTCTATAGTCTAGTCTATAGTCTTGTCTATAGTCTAGTCTATAATCTAGTCTATAGTCTTATCTATAATCTAGTCTATAGTCTTATCTATAATCTAGTCTATAGTCTAGTCTATAATGTAGTCTATAGTCTTATCTATAGTCTAGTCTATAGTCTAGTCTATAGTCTAGTCTATAATCTAGTCTATAGTCTTATCTATAGTCTAGTCTATAGTCTAATCTATAGTCTAGTCTATAGTTTAATCTATAGTCTGGTTTATAATCTAGTCTATATTCTGATCTATAGTCTGGCATATAGTCTAGTCTATATATCTATATCTATAGTGTAGTCGCTAGTCTAGTTCGTAGTCCAGTCTATAGACTAGACTTTAGTCTAGACTTATCTTATCCCGAAAATTATTAGTCTTATTTTAAAATAATAATTTATAGAATTATATCATTTCTGATCTTTTGTTTTCAATTCTTAAAAAAATGTCATTAAGTTTTTAGCGTAGCATATCATAAGTCCGGTTCTAAGGATAAAATATTTTTAAAATCTCCAAGAAATATAAACTGTACATTGTTCTGCTAAGAAGTGTATATATTCCTCAAATAGAGAATCCTCTCTTTTCTCTTTTAAAAACTACAAAACAAAAGAGAACAACTACAAAAAAGCTTAGGAGAAATTCCGTCGGCTTTGCGAACAGGTGAAAGAGACGAATTTACAAATAAGTTCAAGAGCAACTGAAATTACTTAAGGTAAAAAGTGTAAAAGATAATGAGTGACATATAGGAAAGTATATTTGTAGGCGGTTACCGGTCTATGACGTAAAATATAAACAAAAGGAGTTAAATTGGGAAAATTATATGTAATCAAGTTGGTGCAGTACGGTATGTTGATTATCATTGTTTTACTGTACTTTTCTTTTTTTTTTTTTGTAAACAAATACAGGGGACCTAAGTTTATATGGATGTATGTGTATTTATCTTAGAACCAGCACTCATACACAGATGCATGTATGAATTTGAAATGAATAGAAAGAATATTTTTTCTTAGTTGAGCAAAAATATTTTCTAAAAATATACTCACCTTGAAATGTTTTCGATTTAGATTTCGACGAAATTTGTTAATTTTGTTGTTGTTGCTGTTGTTTTATATATTAATTTTTATTATTAAATATATAAAACGCCTGTTTGACGACAACGACGAAAATATTAAAGATGCGAAGATGGCTGTTGTTCGAATAAAAATATTCCGAAATAAATTTTTGGATTTTTATTTTTTTGAATTTTTGGTTCGAATTTAAATTTAACAGATCTCCAACAAGAATCTATGATGAAAAGAAAGCAGCAGATAGAAGAAAGAAGAAAAAAAAAATACAAAAATTAACTCAAAATTTTAAAGATGATAATGATGATTATTTGTTGTAGTTGTTGCAAAAAAAAATCAAGAAAAAAAATTAAGAAAAGTGGGTGGTTGTTAAAAAAAGATTTTGTTTCTTTGTGGTTGTATTTGTTTTTCTCGAAAATAAAAAAAAAATTAAACGTTCATATAAAATTAGCACTGAGATTTATAATAGAATTTTCTTTCTTTTTTTTTTAATAAATTTGTTTGTATTATTGTAGTTGTTGTTTTTTCGGTTTCGTAATGAAAGATAACCTTCAAAATAATTTCATGTACAGAATTTTTCTAAATATTGAGATTGCGAAATGAAATTGAAAGCACTTGTTAATAAAATATTTTGTTTGTTTTTTTTTCAAAATCATATGCAGTGCAAATTTTTTAAATTAGTTTTCTGTTTTTATTTTTTAATTCTTATATTCATTATTTATTTTCAAATTACACACTTCTTATTAAAGCTCTCCTAAATATCGATCGTTAAATTGGCTCAAATTTCGTCCAATCGCTTAACTTTTTAGCAGTTTGTTATTATTTTAATTTTTTTAAAATTAAACGTTTAGAAAATTAAAAGAACTTTGATCGTTGTTGCTAAAAGAAATTCGTTTTGGGAAAAAACTAAGATTTTTTTCTTACTAAAAAAAAGCGACGTTAACCAAGCGACGGTTTTCTCTCAACTAAAGAAAACTTTAGGAAAATTCAGAAAAAGCACAAAAATTATTTTCGAATATCAATGTTTTGCTTTCGAAATTTTTCCTTTTCCTCTATCTCTCAATTAGTTTTGCATTTTGTGTTCTTCACAATTCTTTGAGTTTCACCTCTCTTTTTGATTTTTGAATTTTCTTCATTTTTTTTTCTATCGTACCGAACATTGTACCACAAAACTACACAAACAAATTTTTCTTTTGAGATTTTTCATTTAATGTTTTTTATTTTAAAATTCAATAGATATTCCTTTGTATTCATTCGTCTTCGGTTAGTGTGTACTTATTTATTTACATTAAAAATTTGTTTAGATAATTTTGGCTTTTAGCCATTATTTTTCTAACTATTATAATTTTTCTGAGATTTTCTTTTTTACATTTTCATTTTCGTTATACTGAAAATTAGCTTGTTTGTTTATCATTTGGTTTTTTTTTTTAATTCGATTAAATAGTTTTGTTTTAAAAATATATTTCTGTATACCTTATGTTGTTTATTGCAATCATCTAAGCATTTTCTAGCGTAAACAGAACCAAAGATACGCCACTTGACGGTATTTGTCAATATTTATTTGTTTGTCAACCGGAAATGCGTTTATTCACTAACCCAATAAAAAGACAAACTGAAGACCTAAGACCTAGCCTAAAGCATAGTCTAAATCTATTCTAGAATCTTGCCTATAGTAAAGGCTATAGTCTAATCTGTAGTCCATTTTAGTCTATAGTCCAGACTAGTTTGTAGTCCAGCATAGTCTATAATCTACTCTAAAGTCTAGTCTATAGTCTAGTCTATAGTCTAGTCTATAGTCTAGTCCTATAGTCTAGTCTATAGTCTAGTCTATAGTCTAGTCTATAGTCTAGTCTATAGTCTAGTCTATAGTCTAGTCTATAGTCTAGTCTATAGTCTAGTCTATAGTCTAGTCTATAGTCTAGTCTATAGTCTAGTCTATAGTCTAGTTCTATAGTCTAGTCTATAGTCTAGTCTATAGTCTAGTCTCAGTCTAGTCTATAGTCTAGTCTATAGTCTAGTCTATAGTCTAGTCTATAGTCTAGTCTATAGTCTCTAGTCTAGTCTAGTCTATAGTCTAGTCTATAGTCTAGTCTATAGTCTAGTCTATAGTCTAGTCTATAGTCTAGTCTATAGTCTAGTCTATAGTCTAGTCTAGTATAGTATAGTCTAGTCTATAGTCTAGTCTATAGTCTAGTCTATAGTCTAGTCTATAGTCTAGTCTATAGTCGTCTATAGTCTAGTCTATAGTCTAGTCTCTAGACTATAGACTAGACTATTAGTCTAGTCTCTAGACTATAGTCTATTAGTCTAGTCTCTAGACTATAGACTAGACTATAGACTAGACTATAGACTAGACTATAGACTAGACTATAGACTAGACTATAGACTAGACTATAGACTAGACTATAGACTAGACTATAGACTAGACTATAGACTAGACTATAGACTAGACTATAGACTAGACTATAGACTAGATATAGACTAGACTATAGACTAGACTATAGACTAGACTATAGACTAGACCATAGACTAGACTATAGACTAGACTATAGACTAGACTATAGACTAGACTATAGACTAGACTATAGACTAGACTATAGACTAGACTATAGACTAGACTATAGACTAGATATAGACTAGACTATAGACTAGACTATAGACTAGACTATAGACTAGACTATAGACTAGACTATAGACTAGACTATAGACTAGACTATAGACTAGACTATAGACTAGACTATAGACTAGACTATAGACTAGACTATAGACTAGACTATAGACTAGACTATAGACTAGGACTATAGACTAGACTATAGACTAGACTATAGACTAGAACTATAGACTAGACTATAGACTAGACTATAGACTAGACTATAGACTAGACTATAGACTAGACTATAGACTAGACCTATAGACTAATATACTAGACTATAGACTAGACTATATACTAGACTATAGACTAGACTATAGACTAGAACTATAGACTAGACTATAGACTAGACTATAGACTAGAACTATAGACTAGACTATAGACTAGACTATAGACTAGACTATAGACTAGACTATAGACTAGACATAGACTATAGACTAACTATAGACTAGACTATAGACTACTAGACTATAGACTAGACTATAGACTAGACTATAGACTAGACTATAGACTAGACTATAGACTAGACTATAGACTAGACTATAGACTAGACTATAGACTAGACTATAGACTAGACTATAGACTAGACTATAGACTAGACTATAGACTAGACTATAGACTAGACTATAGACTAGACTATAGACTAGACTATAGGCTAGACTATAGACTAGACTATAGACTAGACTATAGACTAGACTATAGGCTAGACTATAGACTAGACTATAGACTAGACTATAGACTAGTCTATAGACTATAGACTAGAATATATTCTATGGACTAGAATATATACCATACTATAGACTAGACTATAGACTAGACTATAGACTAGACTATAGACTAGACTATAGACTAGACTATAGACTAGACTATAGACTAGACTATAGACTAGACTATAGACTAGACTATAGACTAGACTATAGACTAGACTATAGACTAGACTATAGACTAGACTATAGACTAGACTATAGACTAGACTATAGACTAGACTATAGACTAGACTATAGACTAGACTATAGACTAGACTATAGACTAGACTATAGACTAGACTATAGTCTAGTCTATTAGTCTATAGACTAGACTATAGTCTAGTCTATAGTCTAGTCTATAGTCTAGTCTATAGTCTAGTCTATAGTCTAGTCTATAGTCTAGTCTATAGTCTAGTCTATAGTCTAGTCTATAGTCTAGTCTATAGTCTAGTCTATAGTCTAGTCTATAGTCTAGTCTATAGTCTAGTCTATAGTCTAGTCTATAGTCTAGTCTATAGTCTAGTCTATAGTCTAGTCTATAGTCTAGTCTATAGTCTAGTCTATAGTCTAGTCTATAGTCTAGTCTATAGTCTAGTCTATAGTCTAGTCTATAGTCTAGTCTATAGTCTAGTCTATAGTCTAGTATAGTCTAGTCTATAGTCTAGTCTATAGTCTAGTCTATAGTCTAGTCTATAGTAGTCTATAGTCTAGTCTATAGTCTAGTCTATAGTCTAGTCTATAGTCTAGTCTATAGTCTAGTCTAGAGTCTAGTCTATAGTCTAGTCTATAGTCTAGTCTATAGTCTAGTCTATAGTCTAGTATAGTATGGTATATATTCTAGACATAGATATATAGTCTAGACTATAGACTAGACTAGACTAGACTATAGACTAGTCTATAGACTATAGACTAGAATATATTCTATGGACTAGAATATATACCATACTATAGACTAGACTATAGACTAGACTATAGACTAGACT